GATATGCGCTGCCACCCCTCTCGGTCGATAACCGACCATAGAACAACATAGTACTATGCTCACGGCTAATGGTCTAATTTGGGTGATTAATTATGATTAATCACTCAATTTATGTTTAATTATTTAATTAAACATAATGCTTAATTACCAAAATTATTTCGAACGTAAACGGTACGTCGAAAATAGATTTCGGTAATCTCGACTGAAAATAATTAATTCCGAAAACAATAATTGACACATTATTATATCGGAACTAAAACGTAATTTATACCGATTAAATATCGGGATATTACAAATGTATTACACATGTATTTGTTAAATTTTTTTTTTAAATTAAATAATAATAACAACAACAATTATTTTAAATTAAATATATGTATCTATTAGGCTAATTTGAGATTTTCATGGAAATTAATGAACAGGTTTTGAGCTTCGAAAACATATTAAAGTTATGTTAGTCAACCAATATCATTCCTAAAGGTTTCAACTTTCAATACAACTTAAATGTTATTTTAGTCAAACTATTATAAAATTCCTAGTTAACTTTTCAATATTTTTGGAATGTCCGAACCTAAAATTATTGAATTAGAATAATATTCTTTTTTATCCAAACCAAACTACGAAACATATTTCTTCGCTTAATATAATTTCGAAGCATGCGAGACTGCCACTTAGGCTTGTCGTATTCTGCGATTATATATGGGGGAATTATTCTGCCTAAACAACTTTTTTTCACCTTTCAATTACCGTTTCCATTTAAATAAAATTTAATAAATTTCACTTGTGGGGCAAATCATTAAATAAACAAAATGACACATACCAATTTAGTGTACAACCAGGTTGACAACACAAGCGGAAACATTTGTGTACTTTTTTATTTTTATTTTTATGGATATTTTTTACTTGTGTTGTCAACCTAGTGTTGTACACTAGGTTGACACACAAGTGGAAACATTTACTTGTGTATTTTTTTGAGTTAATTAAGACAAATATCTTTATATTTTATATTAATTGAGTATTAATTATATTTTTTATTGAATTATATAATAGTTAGTATTATAATTATTAGTTATATTTTACACTAAATGATATATGAAAGTTACATAAACATGATGATTATATTACAAATACTTTTTGTTCAAGTTATTTGTTCTAAAATCATTATTATACTTTTTTTTATCTGCTTAAGCGATTATTTTTTAAATAAGTTAATTTTTTTAATGTCATAGTGTAATTCTTTAAATCGCATACGCAATTGCTATAATAAATATATTATTTTTCAGTTAATTAATTGATTATGATATCTCAGAATTACAAAATTTACATTATTTATTACATTTTATGCAATCAATATAGTGATTCGTACGTAATAAAATCGTTATGTTCTATTTATTTTAACGAATGATCAAATTTTAAAATATAATACTATTATCTAACTTATAATTTTAATATTATATGCAAAAATATAATTTCGAGTTGTCAGATGCATTATTGGCAAAGACTAATCAAACATTTCAAGTGCATACTTTCCATTTTATCTTTCTATGAAACATTGAATTTGCACTGCAAATTGATGAAAATAAACCACTGTCCATACCTAATGCGTGAAAAAAAAAAAAAAAAAAATCATTAGTAAGAACTCAAAAAGGGAACACAAACATACAATGACTATTCCATTCTTTAAGTATCTTTGCTAAAATTAGCTGATACATTATAAATGATATGTGAGTTTATAGCTTATAACCTATGATCTATAGCTGAAAAATTGGCTTATACGATAGAAGTATTTGGTAAAATTAGCCAATAAACTAGCTGAAATAAAAATTTCAACGAGTTTATTAAACTACCCAAATAAACTTATGAAATAAACTCGAACTTTTTAATAAAGTTTGTCCTACCGAACAAACTTACTCAAACACAAGAAAATTATATAACTTATTTGGTTATCCTACATATACATAACCTTAAAATTATCAACAAAAAGAAAAGAAAAAAATCATTTTATTCATATACAGCTAACTACAAACACATTTTAATTCGACTCGTGCAAGTTCAAACTTCTCTCACCCAATTACTTAAATAGACCGTACAACAACGAACCAATCTCATTTATTAAACAAATCGAATCAAATCGAATTTATTCGCGAACAACTCATTTATTTATTTTTATTTACTTTTATAGGCTTTAAACAATCAAACCAAACATAATTTTTTTTTTCAAAACGATAGATTCATTAACTAAAAACACATAATTACACCCGACTAAGAAAAAAACAAAATTTCAAGTATTTGTTTTGTGGTGTACACGAAACCTCCGCCCAATAAACAAACAAAACCTACATGTAAATTCCAGAAGGCAAAAAGCACCAAAATCTCTCTCAATAGCTTCAATCATAAAACACTCTGAAAAACTGCAAACCATCATCACTCGTTGTTTGCTCCGCCAAAAGCCCGAAACCATTTCTTCTTGGCTCAACCAATTTTTATTCTAATTTTTTTCAAATCTCCATAAAAATCGTACTTTTATACTCAGTCCCATTTGACTCGCCTCGTGTGGATCAACTGAATCGAAGGTGTTTGGAATTCATCTGCTGGTGCCGTCCCAAAAGGGTCGCTTTTGGTGTTTGCTTAAGGTTCGATACCATTTTCATTGTTCTTCTTTCTTGCAATTTTTGTCTAGTTCTTGAAAATGGGGGTTTTTGCTTTGAGTGATGTTCTGTTTACTGTTACAGTTTGTGTGTGTGTGCTATATGAAGTTGAATATCGGCCACTGTGATGCTGAGAAAGAAAAGTTTGTGCTAAGCTATGTATCATGAAGAATACTAAAAATGCAATCTTTTTTTGTTGGGTGGAAAGGTGGAAGATTGATAATTCAAAAAAGAACGAGAAGAAATGGATCCTTACTACATCGGTGCCATCATCCCACTCGTGCTGACTCTCCTCATCCGCACCACGAAAAAGTTGAAAAAACGAGGCTTGCCGGTAGATGTCGGTGGCGAGCCCGGATTTGCATTACGAAACGCGCGATTCGAATCGCCCGTTGAGTCAGCTTGGGAAGGTATCACGACCCTTGCCGAGCTTTTCGAGCAGTCGTGTAAAAAACACTCGAACCTGAGGTTGCTCGGGACTCGAAAACTCATTGCTCGGGAAATAGTGACAGCCGATGGGAGGTCTTTCGAGAAGCTCCATTTAGGAGATTACGAGTGGTTGAGTTACGGGCAGGTTTTTGAATCTGTTTGCAATTTTGCGTCTGGTTTGGTAAAGTTGGGGCATCAGAAAGGGGAGCGTGTGGCTATATTTGCCGATACGCGTGAAGAATGGTTCATAGCTTTGCAGGTATATATGTTTGTCATGTTTTTATGTGTCAACTTTAAATTATTTTTATTTTTTTTACTGATAATTACAAAATTTAACCTTGACATTAGGCTTAATTAAGGAAAAGAACCTCAATTATCCTTCAGAACCACGCATACTTGGTATTTTAATTTGATATCTGTAATATTTTGAGAGGTGATTGTTCTGTCAATTAGAATGGTTCTTGGTAGTTTT